AGAACATGACAGACATGCATAAACGGCTTGTGCAATTTCTTTAGATGATTCTTGTTTCATGAAACAATATACATCATATACTATTTTCCTGACTTGTCTTATTAGAACAATATTACTTTTTTGTGGTATACTCAACACAAAAAGTCAAAACAATAACAATCAAATAAAACTTAACAATAATAAACAAATGAGACTCAATAATAACAATAGAAAAAAATTATAAACAATTATTACCGAAAATAAGTAACAGCGAAATTGGGCCAATAAAATTTTAGATAAGTGTATTCGGGAGTAATCGGAACATGGGGAAAGAAGCGGGACGCAAAGGTCGACTGATTAACCAATAGCAAGAGAGCGCGCGCGCAGCCCCCCTTGCCCCGCCAAAAACACCCAAAAATCGACTTCTGCGCAACTAAATGTATTGTTCAAGATGTTTGCCGGCCGTTATCCCTATGTACCCTTCCACACTCATAACTTCATCCGCATGTAATTATGAAAATTATATTTTATTGTTTACACGTGTCAAATTATCAATTGCAAATGTCAAAATGATATGACATGATGACAAACCGACGCAATCTTATTTTCTTGATGTTGGCTTGTAGCTTGTTGTCCCTTTCCCACATTAGGGTTTATATCCAATTTATTTACCCCCTAAGTGTAGGGCTTTTTATTATAAAAAGAACTATTCAAAAATATGCTGTAATTGCTGACATCTTAGGCAACACAGAAGTGTGTGTTTACGCTTTATTATAATAGTATAGAAGTATAGATAGGAAACATTTGTATTATCGTATTTTTGTATGTATTTGGTTCCAATAAAAACTGATGGGGCCATTTTAAAAACTCTTTCACTATTCAAAAACTAGATTGTCAGTACCATAGGCGATATTTTTTTAATTTGACGCAGGCAAAATCGCGGTAAACAACTAGTCTGTACTAAAGTAATAAAGCGTAAACACACACTACTTCGTAGGATAGGATGTCAGCAATCACAACATATTTTTGAATGACCCTTTTTTCAATAAAAGCTCTATATTTACGATATGCTTTAGGTTATATATTTTCACGCTATTAAACTTAAGGAGCAAATGAATTGGAAAAAACCCTTAATGTGGGAAAAAAGTTATAGCTATGAATTTAACGATTGCAAATTCTATGAATAGAAAAGATGTAGGGGTGTTTAATTATTTTACCCTGAACCCCTTCCCGCAGACATCGCAGATGTGGTTCTTTGGCACGGGGTAGTTCTTGTCGGGGTGCACGCGCCGGAAGTGCACCCAGTACTCGCGCGCGTTACATATCTCCTCCGAACACTGCAATTTATAAAATAACATATATTAAAAATCAATAAATAATTAGAAAATCCATTATAAAAGATTTCTATTGTAAAACCTACAAGAGAATTGTTTGAAACTTATTTAAAACGTTATAAATAAAATTCAACATGGTCCTTCGAGGCGGATTTTTTTTACTAGTTTAAGATCAGAATCAACTTTTTTATACTGATATGTATGGCATTTAAACAGGATGTTTTTTAATTATATTAAACTAGCTGTTGCTCGCGACTTCGGCGTGAAATTAAAAATATAGTAAAATGTCCTATGTTAGATAACATAGCTTTTTAATGGTGCAAGAATTTATGAAATTGGTCCAGTAGTAATAAAAAAATACAAATCTTTCCTCTTTACAAGATTAGTATACTAGCTGTTCCCATGCGATTTCATCCGCATAAACATGACAAACCTTAGCAATCTTGCTTCCTTGATGTTGGCAGCAACTTATGGTCTCTTTCTCATATTAGGGTTTTTATACAAAATATTTACCCCCTAAGTTTAATGTCGTGAAAGTATATAGCCTAAAGCGTGCCGTAGGTAGGCTTTGTATTAAAAAGGGGATTATTCAAAAACATGCTGTAATTGCTGACATCTTAGGCAACAAAGAAGTGTGTGTTTACGCTTTATTATAATAGTATAGATATTAATGGATATGACTAACATGTTCGCAGTTTGCGGGCCAATTTTGTTTGGAAGGCTTCTTGCCGTAGTTGGTAGGTCTCTTGATGGCGTGCTTTTGTCTATGATGGATGCGGAGTTCTTCAGGATTTGCGAATGTGTCTCCGCAAACACGACATCCATTACTGGTCAAACAAATTATTGAATAATCGTACTAATATTATAAATGCGAAAGTTTACATGGATGTTTGTTCGAGTTTGCAGCCTAAACTGCTGAACGGATCTCGATTTTTTTTTATAACATAATGTGGCAAACGAGCAAGCGGCCACCTGAATCCGCCAAAATGGCGAAGCGACCGCTGCCCATAGACATCCGCAATTGCTGATGCGTTGCCTACCCTTATCCAACAGAGGAGACGCACATGAAGAGAATATCTCCCCTTCCTATGTATCCTCCTCCGTCAAATCCACTTCTCCTTCCCATCCTCTCCTTAAAAGAAAAGGGTGGTAAAGAGTACGTAGGGGATAGTCTGGAAGAACACATAGGCTACTTGCTTTTGTTTTTTTTTAAATCCAACGCGAACGGAGTCGCGGGCGAAAGCTAGTAATTAAAATAAAAAATAAAAAAGTAAGTAGTCTCTGCTTTCTTTCAGGCTATGTTATACATCTACAACTAAGTAGTAAATTTCATCTAAAAACGTACAGCCGTTTAGTAGATTCTAACAAACATCCATCCATCTAAACTTTTGCATTTATGACATTAGTAAGAAGTAGACACGAAGAAATCAATACATATATATGGAACTAGCTGTTCCCGTGCGACTTCATCCGCATGAAGTTACGAAAATTTTATTTTATTCTTCACATTTGTCAAATTATCAATTACAAATGTCAAAATGACATGACATGATGACAACCTTGCTTCCTTGATGTTGGCAGCAACTTATGGTCTCTTTCCCACATTAGTTTTTGTCCAAAATATTTACCCACTAAGTTTAATAGTGTTAAAATATATAGCCTAAAGCGTGACGTAAGTGTAGGGCTTTTTAATAAAAAGAAAGTTATTCGAAAATATGCTGCAATTGCTGACATCTTAGGCAACAAAGAGTGTGTGTTTACGCTTTATTATAATAGTATAGATATAGTCTGAAAGTACACATACATACAAATTTCACTAATCTGATTTTGGGTAAAATTTAGTATTAACACAAATATCTTAAAATATTTTAAGTTATGTGTTAAATGATACACTAACTTGAAGATATATGAAGGCACGTGTTTGACGGAGGTGACGAGGTGGCGCCTCCACGCCGCCTCCGAGACAAACTGCACCTCGCACTCCGCGCAGTAAAGCTCACGCTTCCCTCCACCCTCATCCCCTTTGGACTCCACCAACCTCTCTTTTGGCTAATCAACAAGTAAATGAAGACAGTAGAGCCTTGATAAGTTAAAGTCCTCGGAAACACAAAAGATTTTAAGTTATAGAGGTTTTAAGTTATCAAGGGTCTACGTTATAGAGGTTTTGGGTTCGGATGGGAAGGGAACATATTATTTTTTGAAGTTATAGACTATGATATGAAGACTTAAGGGATCTTAAATTGTAATTAAGAACAAGTATACTTTAAGTAACTCTACTGAAGATGTGATTATTAACTTTAAACATTGTTTGTTTTTTTTTAAAAAAAAAGAAATTATTTATTTTATTTTATGCAGTTAGACATGAACTTTGATATAAAATTAGGTAGGCATTTGCTTAAGTAGGTAGCTTGGGGGTC